ACCACCTCTTACAGCAAGTAAAATCACCCCTCATCTCAAGAGTTCACTCTCTTGACTTGAGAACGAGGTAGGGTTGCAAATCCCTAAGCCTTAGTGGCATACCTCAACAACATGGACATAGGCAAGCCTTGGTGGCGAGCTGAACCACAGGATAAATCCTTATGTCATCTTGTGCTTGTGTTGCTACACTTCTGTTCTTGTTGTTGTTGAGGTGATTTCTAGGATTGAGGCCGATCTACTTGTGTGTGGTGTTCCCACCATTTTCAGTTGTCGATCTGTGATCTACTACCCTGCAGGAAGCTAAGAAATTTACATGGTCTAAATTTCGTTGTGTAGATTTTGAACTGTGAACTAATCTCTCCTACAGGTAAGGCAGTGATGTGCTCATGAAGCGGCAGTGTTGTGGGTGAATTTGACTTCGGTTTGAGTTAAATTTTTACAGGCCTATTCACCCCCTCTAGGCGTACCAGAGGTCCTATATTTACACGCAGTAAACTCATACGTACATGATAATTCCAATAATTATAATATATGAATACCTTCGTGAAGAAGGAATATCCTGGATTTGTCCTGAATGACCGAAAGCCTCGCCTTTTTCCTTCTTGTCGATGATCTTGCCATTGTCCTTTCCTGAGACTAGCCTTCATGCTGCTATTCCTCACTGCCGCAAGGAAGCAGCCGACCTTGCAGCACCCTTCGTCGACTCCATCGCCCCTCCAGCCGCCTGCTGCCCCGTCCTGGCCGACCGCAACCACGACCAGCCACCTATAGATGCGTCTAGCCAGTAGGCAGCTAGCTACAACAAGCCGTAGCTAGCCGCATCCAGCCAGTAGCAAGCTATAGCCCGCTGGGACAAGCTGCAGCAGCCCTCCACCTTCCTCGCAGCAAGGTCGAGCCCTTGAACCTAGTCAAGGCCATCCCTGGCGTCGACAAACTCTTGCTTTTGTTTCATACTCATTCCTATACTTGTCATATACACAATCTATCTATATCTATGCCTGTGCCATGCCTTTGTGCCGGTCTATCTCTTATGCTATGGTGTCTATCTCTTGTGCTATGGATCTATGCAACTCCTCCGATTGCTGTATGTAGTTGTTTCGTTGTTGTGTTGTTGGTTTTTGCGTGGTGTTGTTTGTGTCTGTGGACCGAGCCTTTGAGCCGATCGAGGGATCGCATCTCATTTGAATGTTTCGGTCATGGGATCCATCCCGCCGTGGCCGTGATGCCGAGCGTAACTCGACCCCTCGTTTTTAGTTGACTTTGTAATGCCATGATCGTTGGCCCCTCCTACGGCCCTAGGACGTGGCCACCATGGGCTCAACATCGGTGCGCTTCCTACCCGCACACGATGAGCCCATGTTTGATCTGGTCTACTAGGGACAAATTAGGGGACAACCATCATGGAATTTACGGAAGCCAACTCATTTCGGTAAAGCTCATGGCCGCGAGTTGCCTCGCTATGACCACCGGGCTCTATCTCTTTTGCTCTTTTGTTCTCCTTTGCTTTTTTGTTCATCCTAACCACCTCGTATGCTTGTGCCACCTAGACCATGGCATTTCTTTGGCTCTCGCGGTGACAATCGCATCGCTAGGGACCATAGATATAGCCTTGTGCCGATTCAATTGCACCTAGGTCGCGGAGCCTTATGAGTTGGTGTGGATCGATAGACCTCAGGGTTTGTGTCTCCTTCTTCAACCCTAGCTCATCCCCATGGCAAGTTGGTTAGAAGAATGCGGAGACTGTTCTTCTCTCCTCTCTTCTCCCCCTATCGATTTTCGTTGATCCAGTAAGATGGGATTGATCTTCTTGTTCCAACATCTTCGGCTCATGTCCTTGCCATGACATGTAGATCGAAGAGCTGCGGAACCAGATTAATGACATGTAAGTCGAACTGCTGTGGAACCAAGTTCCCTTTCCGTTAGTTTGGTATTTACTGCTCTCTTGGTTCCATTCCTTTGATTCTCGTCGTTTGCTATGGTGAGTGGATCAAAGGAAGCTGAATCCCGTGTCCCCCTCTTTTTGGTTCTGTCGTGCTTAAGCCCTTGTATGCTTGTACATATTTAGACCGTAGCATTTCTTTGGTTCTTGCGGTGACAACCGCACCGCTAAGAACCCTAGGGATGTCTTAGTGCATTTAGTGCACCTAGGTCATGGTACCCTACAAGTAGTTTGGGCACTCGTGTTCTCTTGTGTGTCGCTCCTTTCGATGCCCCGTCTCTTGCCATGGTGTGTGGATTGGAAGAAGTAGACCACCTCCCTTCTCTTCTCTCCCCCGTTCCACCCTCTCTTGATTCTCGTCAATTATAATGGCATATGGATTTATAGAGAGATCGGAACTGCTTCCTTTCCCCCTTAGCCGCTCTTTTCGATTCCCGTCAATCTCCGTGACGCCCGGATCGAAAGACCGCGAGCCATAGTGTTCTCTTAAGATGAGCTAGGGCCTATACCATTTTTATTGAAGCCGTACAGGTCTACACGATCGACTCGGGAAGTACTAGCTAGGCTAAGACTTAAGCTTGTGCTTAGCAAACAACCACTTCAGTTTCTTTTGGCCCAGGGATCAGACATCCGCTGAGAGGGCTAAGTCATTTTTCCTTGGTGTTCTTTCGGTGTAGTTGTTCTTCCGTGTCTTGTTGCCTTTTTAGAGTATTGATTGCTTTCTGTCTTGCTTGTCACTCTATCGAGGTAGTTGCATCGAGGATAGCGTTGATTGGATCGGAACCCATTGGAGGAAGGACACGTGGACGACAGCATGACTTGGAGGAGAACGACTATGAGTAGACTGAGGATCTTAGAGTCGAGTAGTCAATAGGTGCCACGTCCCACCCAACCTCATAGAATCCTACTAGACATGCAATAATATAGCTGCTAGTGCTTTATTTTCATGCAAATGAGCTATGATAGGTTGCATGGTAGAATTGCTTGAAGCCATTACCTTGACGCAACCTATACCCCTACACACCCGCTGATAGGCTAGATGCTCGCACACTACTTACTGCTTACTTCTACTACGCATTATATCTGTGATGTGATGCTTGGTGAAGGATTGTTTGTGAGTGGCTAAGGCACATGGTGCCGCTAAAACTGGTGATAACTTAGGGAGATCTTGGCGTGAGTTTTGGGTGTGTGATGAGGGTTGAGTCGATCCGATAGGATTCTACGACGAGTCCTTGGGACAAGTCTTGCCAGGAGGGTGTGACCTGAGCATCCTCTATGACGAGAGGTACCTGTAGCAGGTACATGTGAGTGGAGTAAACCCCGGGATGCTTCGCAGGGGTGAGCCCCCGGGGAGGAGGTGCCGTCGAGGCACGGGGTGTCAGTTAACCCCACTTGAGAAGATGTCCTGTCTGGTCCCCCTAAGGACTAGTATGTCGAGAGAACCGGATCAAAGGACCCTACGTACAGACCACTCATTCCTAAATGGGCGGGGGGCGGATGTTGACGAGCTAGGGCGGTGCCACTACTGCCTAGGATGTAGGTGACAGTGTAGGGAGGTATGGGCGTATGGCTCACACCCTCCTAACACAGTGTAGTGACCTTGAGGGCCCGGTACTACATCTCATAGTCTCAGCGTGCCGATGGACTCCGGGGTGACTCAGGGCTAAGTGGCAGGGTGGCATCGTACCGGTTGGAAGGCAGCCCGGTATCAGCCTAGACAGTGGCCACTGTCGATGATGGTGATCTTATGGTTCTAGGTGTACACGCTCTGCAGAGTTGATCGATCTATACGTATAGCCATGTCCACGAATATGGACATTCCTATGACCTACGCTTTCCTTGATTAGTGAGAGGAATCCTTTCTTCTTCTCCCCCGGGTTTGTTGGATTTCGGCTGTTAGCCGATAAGGCAAGGCACGAGAGGGAGTCGTCCTTGCCGCCTAGAGAGAGAGTGTGGTGAGATGTGTGTGATGGGATGGGTGAACGTGTGGATGAGATGGGTTAAAACTTGATGAACTATTATAAATACTGATGAACTTGCATATGAAGACTACAGCCATAAATAGGTCTTTTGCTCTACCCTTGTATTCCACTTACCATAAAGTAAACGCAAAGCATAGTGTGGGAGCCAGTGGCCAGTACAAATCGTACTGAAAGATATTTGACAGGTATTGGACGTCATCTACAACGACAATAATGAAGACTTGAAGGAATAGGATTAGGTGGTCTCGTTCCTACGCTCAAGTTTGGTTGAGCAGATGAAGTCTACGCTCGCTGACGCGCTACACCGACTCTGATGATAACCCGCGAAGGAGGAGCCTTCACCCGCTAACGCGCTACATCGACTCTGATGAAGATCTGTGTGTGTTTCCGCTAGAATAACGATGTATTTAGGTGTGTCACCAAATGTTGTAATGCCTTGTAATCTTGTATTTTCGTGATGTATGAACTATGGTATCAACTGAATAATGATAATGTGATAGTTTGGTCTTCCCGGACTACTTCATTATGATTAATATGTGGATTTCCCTTCGAGAAAATCGTGGATCATTTCACTCAGTCCTTTGAAGGTGCTCATAGGGGTATGGTTTATATACGTGTGTTCATAGGAATGAGTTTACGTGCGTTGGTGGCGTCTACGTTATACCGTGTAATTCTTTAAAAAAAGACAATGCACAACAAGTTTCTACAATGCTAACATCCAAATGATATTTGACAAGGATCACAACGGGATACTATATATATGTGCTGGGCAGAAACCAAAGCATAACAATGTCCAGGTAGCCCAGCCGAATTACAATACGCAACTGATCATAATTCAACAAACCAAAGTACACAACATCCAGAGTTCCAGACCCTGACTTGGAACCAAACTAAAGCTCGTACCAAAGCATACGCAAGCAGCAACGCTCACTACCAGTACTGGTCGGGCTTAAAGCACACGGACCTTGACCACGCGATCCACCTTGAAACAAAGTTGGTAAAAGCAAACCAGAAACCAAACACACGCCAACGCTTCTGATCGCCCATCAAGGCCCGGCCAGGACACGCTAGCTGCGACCTTAGGAGCTGGTCTTGTGCTCGCCGGCGGCGTCCTTGTGGTCGTCTTCACCTGAGCTCTTGTGGTAGCCGGGTATCTTGTCCATGATCTTGCCCAGCAAGCCCTTCTTCTCCTTACCATCCGGGCTGCTCACGTCCTCGGCGTGCGGTGCAGGCGCCGGCGCGTGGACGGCGGCCGGTGCGGCAGCGGCAGCGTCTGCTTCTGGCTTCTTGTGGCCCCCGGGGAGCTTCTCCTTGATCTTGTCCAGTAGGCCTTTCTTCTCCTCCTCCGGCGGTGCCTGTGGGGTCTCCGTCTTCACGTCGTCCTCGACCTTCTGGACGACGACACCGTGGTCGTGCTGGTGGACGTGCGTCTCCACGCCCGGGGGAGGCGCCGGGGCCGGGAAGTGCGGCTTGTGCTCTTCCTCCTGGTGGTGGTGAGCGTGCGTCTCCACCACGGGCGCGGGCGCCGCCACCGGGGCTGGCACGGCCGTGTGGTGGCCCGGCAGCTTCTCCTTGATCTTCTCCTTAAGGCCCTTCTTCTTCGTCGTCTTGACGATCTCGCCGTTCTCATCGATCACCTCCTCTTCCTCGTCGCTCGACTACACGCACGATCGCAGTCAGAAAAAAACAGTACACAACGATTAATCGTGAGAAGCTGCTTTACTGATCTGAAGGAGTCAGTTAGCAGATCATCATGTTTATGAACTTACCGAGCTGGAGCTGGAGCTGGTGCGGTGCAGCTTGGCGAGAAGGCTCTCCTTCTTCTCGCCGGCCTCGTGCTCCTCCTCCTTCTTGTGCTCGTGCTTCTCGGGCTCGGACACGGTGACCTTCTCCATGCCGGTCGCCAGCTCCTCCTCCTGCTTCTTCTCCTGGTCCTCGTGCTTCTTCCTGCCGAGAAGGCTGTCCAGGAGTCCCCTGTCCTTCACCTCCACCTGATCGGCGGCGGCGTTCTCCTGGGCCTCACCGCCCTGGTGCTGCTGGGTGTTCCTCTCGTCCTCCATGATCGCCGAAACAGAAGGCTTTCCCAACTAAACAACAGTAGAACAGATTAGCAGGCTAGCTACTAGAACTCGCTCTTAAATATGACTGGTTTCTATGCCTTTGGCTTTCGGATGGAGAAGGTGGTGAGGCCGGAGGCGTCCTTATATAGAGCATAGGCAAGCTAGGCAGCCGAAAGGTGGCCGCTCCAGCTGCGTTGATGCGACGGAGGTAACGTTTCGTTTTCGTACGCGTAGGCTACGCGACGCGAGGAGGGCAGGACAGATCAGCCGCGGGCGGGAAACGGGAGGTCGGTTGGCCGACGGGGACATGGCCTGGTTATGGCCAGTCGCGCCACGACGCGTGTCAGGACCCGCGCCTGGAGCGGCCCGGTTCCGACGTGGCGGTGCCTCGAGGTGCGTGGAGCGTCGGGAGAGGTCGGCGCCATGTGGGCCGGGCGGCCCGGTGACGCGCGCGGGCGAGAAAGCGTGGACGGCTCGCGGCCATCGCCCATCGGGCACGGGCAGGTCGGTCGGTGGTCGGCGTGGTTTTCTGCTGCTCTGCTCCACTCCCGCTTGGCGTTACCCATCTGCTCCGCTGCCCGCGCGACGCTTGTCTTCCGTGCATCAGTTTTCTACGATTTCATTAAGTACTTTGGTTTATAGAAAAATGGTAGTAAGCGTCTGTCGTTCGCTTTGGATTCGTCAGACTTGAATTGGGGCACCCAGGCGTTAGCATCAGTTTTTTCAGCCGGATGCTCTCACCTCTTTCTTTATCAGAATTCAGAAGACGTGTCATGTGTACTCATCAGTTCCACCTTTGCGTTGCCAGATTGAAGTTTGCAAGTTGCCAATGGCGACGCGACGCGGGCACGAGAGTGATTGACTGATTGCACTGCACGGGTGGTGCATGACTCGGACGACGGGAGAGGTCTAGAGGCTTCGACGTTGACATGTGGGTCCGGGCGCTGATCCGTCGCCGGGCCGGGCGGCAGCAGAACCTTAGCGAAAGCCGGTGGGGGTGGGGCTAGTGACTGGATTTGGCCCGACTACGGGCTAAGCAATCCGGCCAGGACGATTAATCAACGGCCCCAAAAGTCCTGAACTTGTGACCATTTTCCTCCTCTTTCGCTTTGATGAGCTTTCGCTGGGGAAATGTCGGTGGCGTGTCGGCCTTTTGGTCTCTTTTCGCCGTCCTTCGCCGCGGAAAACTCTCTGGGCAAGCGCGGGCCACGCCGGCCGGCCGGCGTGTACGCTTTCAGCTCGCATCCGATTATTGACTTTCGATGCGTTAAGATAGACGCGGGAGCTGTGGATCGGTGCGAGGGAAAGGTTTGGCGCCGCGAGAGCAGGACGCGATTTGGACTGGACGTCTGGACCAGAACATTGGTTCCTGGTCCTCATGGAGATCTTTTTACCGCGCGCCGATGAAGTGAGAGGGGATAAACTAGTCAAGGCATTGGATCCCGCCTGCGCCTGGAAAGCAGTCCAGGGACGAGGGGCACCTGGGACCCTGGGAGGCAAGCCCTCCGGCCTTTGCACCGGCGTCGTACCACGGAGCAGACACGGGCTCCAGGAATCGATTCAATTGCAGCGGCACGCCGAGGCGCTCACTTGATTCCTCGCCACATGCCTGCACAGCGGAACTCAGTACTGCGTCGCTTGGCGCGAGGATATTTTAGGGCTCTGTTCCCACGGCACGTACTCCCTCTGTTCCATTGAGTTTGTCGTTGGAAAACCGTGCCCCCCTCACAATCCCGCTTCCCGAGCGACAATCTTAACGGGACGGAGGGAGTACGCACGAACACAGAGCGTTTTGCCGACTTGCTGATCACGGATTCGCTGCGTTGTTAAGGGAGGGACCTGATTCAAAAAGATACGTAAATGACAGCGCGGCACCGTTGATCAAGGATGAGCTCAATCCTGCGTGCTGGAGTGCATCGTCGTTTGTCGATGAACATTACTTGCATTGCATGCAGCCGTGCGTGGTGTATTGGCGAGCCTTTAAGCATCATGTATACGCAGTGGCGGAGCTAGAAGCTAAACGTAGGGGGGCCAATTTGCCTAACACTAATTAAAATGTGAACGAGTGTCAGATAATTATAAAGTGTCTTAATAGAATTAAGGGAGTAAGAACTGGAGGTTGCCCATGCTCCACATTTAGATTGTCTGTTTCCTTTTGAAAAAAAACGTAAATATAGATTTCTCTTTTGTAAAAAAATTGCACGCTTGTCAGTCTATATAATAATAGAAAATCATATGAACCGGAAAGTTAGGGAAAAGACAGCAGCTCTTGAGGTTCAGAAGCATGGAGTAATAAAAAAGTAAAAACGTCTACTAGTTGGTGCCTGCCTACACTTGAGCTCATGAGCCGTGACGGTGGCTAGGAAGCCCTTACGGCTTGCGCTGCGCAGCACTACGAATTGCAGTTTGGAGAGCGCAGCAGCCGGCAGCCGAGAAGCCAGAGCGAAGCGAGTGCGGGGATGTCAGCTGTGGGATGGGAGTCGGCCACTGCCGCTCCGGTCACGCCCGGTAGGGCCAGCTGCAGGCAAGGGGGGGCCATGACCCAGGTTAGCCGACGTATAGCTCGGCCAGTGTGTATACGTACTGTGTTTACACCAAAATTTAGGAATTTATTGCCTATGAAGTTTACTGATGAGAGCTGACGATTTGGTGAATATTTGTGAAGAAGCTTGCGGCTGATTGGCTTGGACTGCTCAGTAAGCCATATCAGGTCCATAATAAAGAATCAGACAGCATCATTTGTACAAGTTGAAGACCCGGCATGACATGCTATTTTAATTGCATGAATATGTGTTGAAGACGCTAAATCGATCTTTCGTTGCCATGCAAGAAAGGCGATGATATTTCAGATACTCGGCAAGGAACGGCAATGATGTGCATCACGTGAATAGAAGAAAAAAAGGCAAGGAAATATCAGCTTGGACTCAAAGTATCTATCTGAATGTCACGTACATGAAAGAAGAGAAAGAAAACGTTGTTTAATATATTTGGGAGAAGTATTGATGTCCAGGAGTTCATCACGTGAGTAGAGAAAGAAAATCAAATATGCACATGATGAAGCAAAAAGAAGTTGTATTCGTACTGGACTCAGCTAGCATGACGAGATGAATTTGGAATATTATATTCTGTTTGCAAGCAAGGACACGTATCGTAGATGTGCATGCACAATACGTACTCAGCAAGATATGCCTGCATGTAGGACCCTTGCCGATTGAACCAAACGAGAAGAGATACGTCGGTCAGGGAAGCTTTAATAGCAAGGATTCTATAGAAAAGAGTTCATGTATTTTAATATTTTTTTAGATAGGGTTAGGCAAGTTACGTATTGAGTTCTAGGTATAAATATAAATCCTCGGTTATTGTATAAAAAATATATACATATATAAATCAAAATCAGTCTTTATTTTTTCGGCTCCACGTCAACTTTTAGGAGTAGAAGTAATGTAGTTTTTCGACGAGTTCTTCAGCAAATAGGGCTGCATCGACTGATCGACCTACAACTTGCTTGTGAGTACCGTCGCGACTTATATTGTGCTTGTAAAGCTGCATCAGCTGATTGATCTTTTATGAGCCATAATATAAGTTATTTATCGATCTGTATCATAGTTTGTAAGGCTGCATCAGCTGATTGATCTCTTACGAATCATAATATAGATCAAAGTTATCGATCTTGTGTTAAATAACTTGTTGTTTAATACAATACCAGATTCAGACCTCACAACCATCCTCACCCAACCCCAAGTCAGCTCGCTAGAGATGACTATACAATGGGAGTGAGGCCGGGCTTTATACACATAGGGACGCCAGGGTTGGAACAGGCTTCTGACATGACCACACGAGGTTCATCATTACTACTATCCGAGTAGTGAATATTTTAGATAGTCGGACCTTCTGTCATCCAACGAAGTATACAGTACACTCCAATCCAAACAGTCGCAGGCTCGCAGCAGTCGAGGGGCAGTAGCTAGCTAGAGATGGCTATATGGTTTCATAGGTTCTGATCGACTGCACTCCCTGGGCTATGGTTGACGCTGCCGCTTTATTAGGCGCCTGCGGGTTTTAGAATAAGTCCACATTATTAGGCGTATCCTAGAAACAAGGTTGCGATTAACTCTCGATGGAAGCCGAGTTCATCTCTGGTTCGTTCCAATTAAAGACTGCATGCATACATGCATGGAAGCCAAACAGAACGGCTCCAATAGAGGCATGGACATGATATTTTTAATTAATACAATTTCACAGTCTTCATCTATTCCTTGGTATCTGAAATTTCATCCCGTACGGCTAACAAACTGGCCCGGAGGCAGCATGAACAAATACACTCATTTTGCTACGACTTTCAAATGTACAGACGACACTATATATTGTCCTACGAGATAAAATGTACAGCGGACGAACTTTCTTACGTGTGCAGTAAAAAATGTGAACAGAAAGAAACGTGCAGATCAGAAAGAGAACCAGAAAACTCTGCATTTCCCGATAATCTGACCGTCTCGTCCGCCCAGTCGCCCGCCCACCCGGTAGTCTGAACCGTGTCGTCGTTGGAATTCCCACACCAGTTCGCAGAGGGTATTTAAAACTCCTACTGTAACCCCCGACCGGCCGCCTCCCCCGCCTCCTCCTCAATCAACGTAAGTCAATCACGCCGCGCCGCCTCTCCAGCGCTCCGTCTCGCCGCCGTCCACACGCCATAGCTCCATCCACGCACACGCGGTAGCTCCATCCACGCCACCGCATGAGCCCTCGGTTGGCCTCCTTGCGCGACGTCGACACCAGCAATCATGGCGACGAGGCGGCACCCCACGTCACGTTTGCTGGCGCTCCCCGATGAGCTGGCCATTGAGATCACCGGCCACTTCGCTGCGACCTCTGAGTGGCCCATCGATGACCTCCGCAGCCTATGGGCGACCTGCTCGTCCATGCGCCGCATCTACGGTAACCCCACCATCGATCGGCACGTGGCACTAGACCAGTGCAGACGCGGGCTGGGATGGGACAAT